TCCTTACCTACTATTTATCATCGACAAATCTATAAATAATAGGAGAACAAGACTGTGAGAATACACATAATATTACATATTATTTTAACAACAAAAATATAATAATTAGATTAATTATACAATGACTAATTTGCGGTTATTATAATAATTATACAGCTGTCATTTTCATTTAATTATCTTTATGTTTAACAAACAATATGCGTAATCGATTTATGTTCAATTATAACATTGATCGTAATGATTTGTGTTCACTTATATACAACATTTTCTACAATTTCCAAATGATGAAGAATTATTTATAATTAAATTAATATAATAAGATTAAATACAATGTTTCAATTATAATTTTTGTATTCAATAGTTAATAATGTATTATTAAAATAATATATGTATTGATTTATTGTTATAATGAAACCGTATAACTATTTTTATTTAAACTTTCTAATGTTATAACTTTGAGCAACAGCCAGTATTTTCGAAATCAATGAAATAAATAATAATCTATAAACAAAATTACTAGGTACCTCCTCTTATTGACAGCAAGATGACTTTAGGCATTAAATACAAAAATATTTACAGACATGCATATAAATATTAAAGTAGTTTTCGTAGTTTATCATTATCAACTATTACACAATAATTAATTCGATTAATTCAATAGATTCAAGAGATTCAGCCTACCCAAATACCAATAGTATATTATATATAGTAGTTGTTACATTTTTTTTTTTTTTTTTTAATGTATATAGTTTTATGACTGCTATACCTAGATATAATTAATGAGAGACTTGTGAATAAATCTTCTTACTTCGTCGCGGCTATCTGACAATCGGTTAAATGGTCGGACCGGTAGAAAAGGAGCCTAAAAATAATACGCACTGCACTACCTATACATTAATCACTCGAGTGTTAAAAAGTGTAAAAAATGAAATACTTGCGAACGTCAGCGCAAAAAGGATAGTATAGGAATTTGAACGGTGACTCGGCGGACACGGAGAAGACGACTGACCAACAAAAATGCATGAGCATGACTCGGTTACCCGCTGGACGACTACGGTAATCTCGACCAAGCTTACCGCTGTCGATTTGATCAGATTTATACCACGCCTACGCGGTTGCCGACTATTAAGTACCTACTCGGGTAATCACAGTATTTTCCGTCCGTCAGCCATGGGAATAATATTACGTACCTTTATTTCGGAATATCGTCCGATTTTAAACGGTTCTCGATCAAATCGTTTTTCCGTTGCCGGACGAATGTGTATTACATGGCGAAGGGTAAAGAAGTGTTATAATACTTGTTGATATATATCTATATCTAAGGTAATACAAGACTCGCATTAGTCACCAATTATGCGTAGCCTCATAGGTTTCTCGTATATGAATACCTTCACTGGCCTATACGACAGTTATTATATTATGTTATTTAAAATACATACAATTGAGATCCTCTCCCCCCTCCCCGTTTTATGAACAGCTATACAAATTTGTATTTTCGGTAATTTTAATGGACTATAAAATTTATTTATTTTGATCATCTAAAACACTATGTAACACTTTGTAACACTTTGTAACTGATGTCTAAATACAATCAGACAACTCGGTGAACAGGAATTACAACAAGCAAACCAAAATTAGCTAACCACTGATCTAAATAAAAAAAAAACCAGTTGACAGAGGTACAGACGAGTCATCTCCAGAGGAAACTCGATTTTTTCAGACTTCAGAGTTCAGAAGTTCAGAACCATTAGKTTTATATTCCGTGGTGGAACTCTTCCATTGRTGTATAATAGCATGATTCATATGAACAACTTTCTAATCATTTCAAATGACAATAAATAAATTGTATATGCCTACAATCAATATTTATGCTTCAGATAAAAATAAACTATCATTTCAGATTTAATTATAATAGCGGTAATTTAGTATATAATAATATTAAAATTAACTACCTATAATAGTTTCATTTAATATCATATAATATCAACTAAATTATATAAAATTGTAATACCTAATTGATCACATAAACATAAGTCATAAATAGGAAAAGATAATTCATAAAATGTGAATCATCCACTTCAGTTTCAATACCACTATGAAAATATCTATACCAACACATATTATTTGCGCATTTTAAGTTTTTGTATAATACTTTATAATAATCTAATTAAATTAAACTTACTACAAAACTTTSAATCAAAATATTTTATAAATTAAAGTCACTTATACACAAAATTACTAATAACGAAGTCATATCTAAAAAATAATATATAATTAATATACAGAATACTTTTTAATGATTAAAAATACTATTTGCATGCTTCATTTAACTTAAATCTCGACTTAAATATTAAAATACTATTATGTAATCAAAACTATACTACTAATACTACCTAACAAACCACATAGATACACACATAAACATTAAATTGATTATTTAATTACATTTCATGAATAATTGAACAGTGACAATTGATACCTATCAAATAAAAAGTTAATTCAGCATGACTAGGTATATCTATTAGTCACAATTTTTCAATTAATTTAAGAAATATATAAATTTA